AGAAATCCTCACCAATTAGGAATTGCTCTTTGATTAGAGAGGAAATGAAGAGAGATTCAATGAAATTTAATCTCCATTGTATCTATCCATTAAAATGACAGATAATGCCTTTTCTGGGGCTGCGTCAGTTTAGACTCTACTGTTTTCTGTTTTTTTTTTTGTTGTTCTGTTTTTGTTGTTTTGGGGGTTTTTTTTGCCTAGATTACAATATAAGAATAGAGACTAGCTGGGCCCTTGTGCCTCATGCCTGTAATCCTAGCTATTCAGAAGGTTGAGATCTGAGGATCATGGTTTGAAGCCAGAAGTGGAGTCGTGGCTCAAGTGGTTGAGCACTAGCCTTAAGTAAAAAAAAAAAAAAAAAGCTCAGGGACAGCTCCCAGACCCTGAATTTAAGCCCTGGGACTAGTACAAAAAGAGAAAAAGAAGGAAGGGAGGGAGGGAAAGAGGGAGGAAAGAAGGGAAGAAAAGGGAAGGGAAGGAGACAGAGAAAAAATAGAAAAGAAAGGAATGGAATAGCAACTAGCCTGTAATCCCAGTATTCAGGAGGCTAGATGAAGATGATGAGTTTGTCACCCCTGGTAAGATCCTGTGTCAATCATAATAAATGAAAACCATGAGAATAGAGTCCAAACCAAAGCCAACACTAGAAAAATAGGTCAGATTGTACTTGCTATACTCTACCCCAGAAGGCCTGCCATCAACAAAGACGAGTTACCCCTTTCCGTTTACATTCAAGCTGATCAGAGCCCTAGACTCATATTTTCAAGGTTGGCTGTTAACCACTGACCTGTTTGATCCATGTTCAAAGAAGACATTGAGAACAGATGTTCAAATCGTAGCATTTTGCTGCCAAGAAGTATGCTGGCCTCATTTTACAAAGAAAGAAATGAGACTTGAATAAGTTAGAAAGGTCAAATTCCAAAGCGTTTTTCTTTAAGCATTCCTAAGAAAAGGACATTAATGAATGCTGGGGCTTTGGGAAGACAAGAGCCCAACTTCCAACTCGGTCATAGGAAGGCTGCTGTACAGACATTGGGTTAGGATCTTGTGCTATCTTCATTGCTCATTAATAGGGCAGCATTGGTGAGATTCTGTGCTGAACAGAACCTCTATTTCCTAATTTATAAAGTAAGGTGAGTGAGGCTTGAGGTTACCATGGAAACTAAGTGGAAATACCCTAATCTACACTGGCATGGGAGCCTGGACATATTCCACATGTATTGTCACGATCTGTTGATCCAAGTGGTGACATTAGCCTTATTTTATTAATGAGGTAGCAAAAGCTGAGAGAGATGAAGAACTTTGCAGAAGGACGAGGCACCGGGCATAGTGGTGCATGTCTGGGATCTCAGCACTCTGGAAGGTAAGGCAACAAAGATGGTGAGCGTTAGAAGCCAGTCTGGACTGCATACATGGTGAGATATTGTCTCAAGAAAAACAAAAACAAGAAATTTTACCCAGGTGATACAGTTTATAGATGACCCAGGCCTGTGGGACACAGAAGCTCTCATACATTACTTGACACTTGAGTAGCCTGAGACAGATGACCCAGAAGTGTGTCATAAATAAGAACTTGCTGTGAGAAATACATTAAAGAAAAAGAAGGCATCCTTGTAAATTTCCCTCAACTCTGAAAAGCAGTTTGGTCCAAACTGTTCCCAGATGCCTGTTTAATTCATAAAGACATAAGCAAGATCATTGATACTTCATACACTCATTCAGAAAACATCTTTTGGGGCTACTTGAGGTAGTACATGCCTATAATCCTAGCATTCAGGAAGTGAGGCAGAAGGGTCTTCAAGACCAGGCTGAGCTACTATCAAGACCTGTCTAAATAAAATCCTTTGGGTACATTGAAAGTGCCCTTCTAAACAGTAGCTTATTAACCTAGAAGAATAGGGTTTTTTCCTGAGATTTGGACTCAGGGCCACTTGCAAAGCAGATGCTCCACCACTTAAGCCATGTCTCCCCAGCCCTTTTTGATTTATCACGTTTTTTGAATAAGGTCTCTTATTTATTGCCCGCTGGCCTGGACTGTAATGCCAAGGTCGCAGGACACCCCCCCCCCTGCAAGAAGACCACCGAGAGTCAGACTCTACAGCTGTTTTATTTAAATGGGCTGCAGCTCGGGCCTCGTCCTACACTCCGACACAGCGGAGCCTAGGAGGAGAGCCCCGAGCTAAGGATTTGCAGGTCTTATATAGGCACACAATCAACCAGGTGTTTTGCTTACCACCATGTGTTGCTTTGCTAGACAGAAACAAGCACCACGTGGTGGTCACTGCCTCAAACTTTAACCTTTCAGGACCATAAACCTACTATTGACACTTTCTTCATTGCTGAGATGACAGGCACATGCCACTGGTTGAGATGGGTTCTCATGAATTTTTGCCCAGGTTGGCATCAAAACAAGATCCTTACAAATGGCTATGATTACAGATGTAAGCCATCTCACTCAGCACAATAGTTTTTCTCATTATTTCTGTGGGGGTTTTTGTTGTTGTTTTGATTTTGTGCCAGTCCTGGAGCTTGAACTCAGGGACTGGGCACTGTCCCAATGCTCAAGGCTAGTGCTCTACCAGTTGAACCACAGCTCCATTTCTGAATTTTCAGTGGTTTATCTGAGATAAAAGCCTCAAGTACTTTATTGCCTGGGCTGGCTTCAACTCATGATCCTCAGATCTCAGCCTCCTAAGTAGCTTGGATTATAGGTGAGAGCCATCAGCACCTGGCTTAACACAATAGTTTAAAAGATCGAACTAGCATTTTAATGTTATAATAAGCATTCTTGTATAATTCATATGTACAGTATATTTATATACTTGTTTAATGGGTGGTTTTAAATGTATGGAACAGGTGTATAGTTTTTATATACTGCATTTTGCTTTGATGTTTATATTGGCTACACTCATAAAGACTATGATGCTTTCTTAATCATTTATTGTTTCTGGAGGATTAGTTTTAGAAATGCCTACATTATGGACTGAGGGGAGCACTTCATAGCTCCTCTCCCACACCCACAGTTGGGTGCCCTGTGGGTAGAGAAATGAGGCATCAGGATTCTCATCCTGATATAATTTCATATGAACCCATGGTTTAAAAGTTAACTAGAAGCCATGCACTGGTAGCTCATGTTTGTAATCCTAGCTACTCAGGAGGTTGAAATCAGAGGGGGCAGAAAAGTACTAGAGACTCCATTTTAAATTAACCAGCAAAATGCCAGAGGGGAGGCATGGCTTAGTGGTGAAGTGCCAGCTGCAAACAAACAAGTAGAGTAAGAGCATGAGGGCCTGAGTTCAAGCTTCAGTACCAGCAAAAAAGTTAGATTATTAGTTGAAAGCTATCTGGTATGAGAGAAAAAGAAGGAGGTACAGCATTTTGTGATATGACCTGTCTCCAAGTGGTTGGACTTTATCAAGATGACAAAGGAAAGCAGAGCTAGAGAGTCACAGTATAGAAGCTAGGTTTCTCAATCAACGCTTGAAGTGGGAATTGACCTCAGGAACCTTGTAGAACAGGAAGGAGACCCACATTCTTAGGAGGCTTGTGGGGAGCTAAGACTAACACAACAACACCTCCTACTTTGCACAGCAGCTGGAATCTTATCTGAGTACTCTGAAAGGTTTTTGTCTTTTTCTTTGGCCCCAGCTTTGCTCAGGTGCCTCCCACCAGTCACCTGTGTCTGTGAGTATGTGTATGGCTCTAGATCATTCCATCCCTGGCGTTCTCTGCCTATCCGAGTGGCACACAAAAAGCAAACCATGCTGAGGGTCCAGAACAAGGGAGGAGCTGTTGTTGCCATCCCTATCTCCTTCCCGCCCTCCCTCCTCCTCCCCTTCCCACAAAACTGGGTGTTTCCAGCAGGGCTCAGGATTCTGAGTTCTTCATTAATAATACAGTGCAGCTGCTTAAAGTGTTGGGAGTTTGTAAACCATTGAGTTCAATGGTGGCACTCAGTTTTCCTTCATTTTTGTCCTTATCTGTGTGCCTTGGGAAGTTCCTCATCTTCCGATTTCAGCTTCCACATTTATAATCTAAAAGGGCTCAGGGCTCTAAGTATACTGTGTAAGAACCAGTTGTCTGAAATGGAGCTGCCTGGAAATTCCACTGTCAGCATTGCTGGCTTCACCAGTACTGAGCATGGTCTGTGGCACTGGTGACCTGTGAGGAGAGGAACAGAGAAACCATTCACTCTCAGCTTCTTAGCAAATACCAGAGATAGCCTATTGTCTTACTGCTTAAAGGTTTTTCTTTAAAGTAATTATTTTTAATCGTTATTATAAAGGTGATGTACAGAGGGGTTACCATTTTATAAGTCAGGTTTACCTGACACTCCTCTCTCTCCCAGTTTTTCCTTCTCATCCCTGCCCACAAGTTGGATAGTTTGTTTTCAACAAAAAGTGATTTTTTCCTTGACAATAGAGAAATGTATTTGTCCTTAGCCATCAGCAAACCTTCCTCTACAATTATGTTTAGCTCTTTTATATAAAAACTATCATTCTTTTATTTTAGTTATCTTGGGTTATTTGTTTTGTAAGTGATTTTAGAAGAGGCTGGATTTGCGATTAAGTTTTTAAGAGTTAAATTTTCTGAGCCCAAGGGAACAAATCTTTGTGTTACTTAGAAGTAACATATTAAAACATTGTTCTAAGGAGTGATACTGATCATTAGCCTTCTCTCTTCTTTCTGGTACTCCACCTCAACCCCAGCAGATCCCAGAATGTCCTTATAATTTTACATCTTTCAAAGCATCTATCTCCATCACTTGCAGTTAGGTCTTTCTTAGGAAACTTCCATTCACAGCTTTCCTCTCCTGACCAGTCTGAGGAAGTGGGAGCTGATTGTGTCAGGAGCACCCTCTGGAGGTCAAACTATGAAATTACAATTCCTCTGTAGTTAAATTCTACACCTTGTGTTACCTTTCAACACAGGAGAAGGAATAGATTTTGCAGAATACAACAGACATTTGTTTATTGTTTTTCTGTCTTTTGTCCCACCAGGTCAGTCACCATCCACCTATCTCAGCCTGCCATGCTGAGTCTGGAAATTTCGTTTTCTGGCAAGGTAATGTGCTGACATATGTGACCTCCATTTTGTGTAATGATATATAGAGTTTATTTGTGGAGGAATTGTTTAAATGTTTGCTGAGATCAACAGTCATCCTCAAAGAGTTGAGGCCTCATAATGCTCTGCTCCAATTGGTGGCCCCACTTCTAGGCTCTGGACAATAGCTGATACATACCATTTATTTATTTACTGATATTCAGCATTTAATTTTAGTTGATTGCTACTAGTTGATTTTAAGTATTCAGGGAGATCATTTTGTTTCACCATTTTGTTTATTGTTTTTAATGCCAGTACTTGGGTTTGAACTTAAGGCCTGGGCACTGTCCCTCAACTTTTTTTTTTTTTATGCTCAAGGCTAGAGCTCTACCACTTGAGCCACACCTCCACTTGCAGCGTTTTGTTGGTTAATTGGAGGTAAGAGTCTCCTGGACTTTTCTTCATGGGCTGGCTTTGAACTGGGATCCTCATATCTCAGCCTGCTGAGTAGGATCACAGATGTGAGCCACCAGCACCCAGCTGGGTTCCTAACTTTTAACTGCAAAATCTTATTGGCCCTATAAGGCTCTTCCTTAAAAGCAATGGGGGATTTTTTTATGTTTTATTGTTGTTGTTGATGATGATGATGATGATTTTTTAGTACTAAGAATTGAACTCAGGGCCTCATGGTTGTTAGGCTAATGCTCTACCACTTGAGCTACAGCCTCAGCCCTTAAAACTATGTATTTTTTCAATGGGAGGAATCTTCTGAAAGTAGTCCCTGTCTTACCAACTTTTCTCCTGGGGCTGCTCCTGGGCTTTGAACTCAGAGCCAGGGTATGTCCCTGAGCTTTTGTGTCCCTTGGGTCACTGTTCCACTTCCAGCTTTTCTGGTAGTTGGTTAGAGATAAGAGTTTTACAGATTTTCCTGCCTGAGCTGGCTTTGAACCTTGATCTTCAGATCTCAGCCTCCTCTAAGTATCTAGGATTACAGGGTGAACCACGGGCACTGGCTTCGGCTTCTTTCTTAATCATTCTCTTCCTGGACAATACTACCTATTTCCTAGGTACAAATCCTGCTTTATTTTCATGCAGTCTAGTATTTCTCTGCCTTTTAGTTAAGTTGCTTAGAACATCTATATTTATTGTGATTATAGTTATTGTGGAGTTGGTTTTATTTTTTGTTGTTGTCGTTGAGCTTGAACTCTGGGCCTGGCTGCTGTCCCTCAGCTCTTCAGCTCAAGGCTAGCGCTCTATCACTTGAGCCACAGTGCACTTCCAGCTTTTTCTATTTTTGTGGTGCTGAGGAATTGAATCCAGGGCCTCGTGCCTGCAAGGCAAACACTCTACCACTGAGCCACCTTCCCAGTTGGTTTTTAAATATACTCTCGTTAATTTGTTCTCTATTTGTTTTTTGTTAATCCTTTCCCTCTCTTTACCTTCTTTTAATAGACTTAAATAGATTTTTATAAGTATAATATTTTATTTACTGATATCTCTGAAATATACCAAAATCCTTATAACTAAGGAAGCTTTTCATGCTAAAATACTGAGCATGACAAACTTCTACCAAAATTATTTTAATATAGAGCCTTCACTTGAACCAACCTATGAACATTACTTTTAGATGGTAAAATCTGATTACAAATATAGGATCATATGAAAAAGTCATACTTCTGGGTTGCTGGAAAAAAATTTTGAGAATCATGTTTAAACTACAAAGTTTAGTTTGTATAACCCTCAGCCCTTTGGAGAAATAACATGTAGAAAATACATAGTGGATAATCTGTGATACAGTGGTTATAGGCCATATTGATCCTATATTTGCAATCTGATTTTTACATAACTGCTCTTGTTTTGATACTGAAAATAAGACTGAAAGACTAAGTGCAGACAGAACTCAACAAAGTGGCACTACTTTAAAATTACAGTGTTAGCTAGGAATCAGTGGCTCACTGTAATCTTGACTACTCAGGAGGCTGAGATCTAAGGATTCTGGATCAAAGCCAGCCCACACAGACAAATCTAGGACACTTACCTCCAGTTAACCAGCAAAAAGCCAGAAGTAGAGGGGTGGCTTAAGTGGATAGAACACCAGCCTTGAGTATAAAAGCTAAGCAAGAATGCAAACCCTTGAGTCAAAGCTCCAGAACTAGCGCGCGCACATGTGCACATGCACACACACACACACACACACACACACACACACAATTATAGTTTTAAAGTCTAAAAGGTAAAGGTAAAGCATGCTTCTTATTCGGAACCTAGACTTCACACCATTGCCATGGTACATAACAGTGCATTTAGTGATTTGTTAATTAGCACAGCACATTGTATGCTCCAAAAGAAACGTAATGATCCAGTAAAATCATTTATTGTGTCTTAAAAACAAATGACCTAAGTTTAAGGATGAGCTGGCTTTTCTTGGTATTTCCTTTTCAAATTACTAATATAAACTCACCAAGAATAAATTATATATTTCGTTAAACTCCAAATAATATGCCAAAAGTTTCTGAGTTGGTATATCTTATTCAATTTCTAAAACTAAACAAAGAGGTTTTTTGTTTTTTTTTTCCTGACCTAAGCATTTATATCCCTAGCTCTCTAAGTTAACATTAAGAAGAAAGTACAGCCAGGTGCTGGTGACTCATGCCTGTAATGCTAACTACTTGAGAGGTATTGAGATCTCAGAATTGAGATCTGAGGATTGTGACTCAAAGCCAGACAGAATTATTTGTGACACTCTTATTTCCAATTAGCCAGTTAAAACAAAGCCAGAAGTGGATGTGTATAGCTCAAGTAGTAAAGCACCAGCATCGAGTGAAAAAGTCAAATGAGAGCTCAAGGCTCTGAGTTCAAGCCCCAGTACTGGCACCAAAAAATAAAATAAGGAAGAAGGACTAGCTTACTTATTATCTAAGTATTTTCTGTCTTAACACTCACTCTATTTCAAATAAGTTACTTCTGAATGTGACAAAGTCTAGCAGTCTGATTCTACTACAGTAACACTTGCAGGATTCCTGGCCCATTAGTTGACTGTGGAATTTCTCAACCTTCTCCTCATGATGAGCTTGCTCTTGTCTGTGCATCAGACTCAGTCGCCTGTTACAGTAATGCACCAGTTCTCATCGGCTTGCCTGGATTGTAGAACCACATGTTCCTCATAGGATCTGCTGCTCAGCCAGGTGGATGTTCCCAGGTCTAGAACTGTGCATTATAGCAGATGCTGAGGAGGCATGGGAGGAAAGGCCATGGATGCAAGCTGGTCATCTTTCCAGCTGCCTCTTCTTCCCAGGGCCACCACTGGTGAATCTGAATACGTTCAACAATTCTATTTCATCTTCTCTGTTGGGTTATTATTTATACATGTCTGATTTGTGTCTTGTTACTTTAAGATATATATTATAGCCAGGCACTAGTGGCTCATTCTTGTAAGCCTAGCTACTGAGATTTGAGGATGGTGATTGAAAGCCAGCCCAGGCAGGAAAGTCCATGAGACTCTTATCTCCAGTCAACCACCAAAAAAGCTGGAAATGGAGGGGTGGATCAAGTGGTAGAACACAAGTCTTAAGCAGAAAAGCTAGGGGACAGCACTCAGGTCCTGAGTTTAAGCTCCAGTGCAGGTGCGCATGCGTGCACGCACACACACACAAACACACAGACACACACATGTACACGCGCATACACAATTCATATTAGATATCTTCAATGTATTACAACCTACCCTCAAGTAATATTATGCCACTTCATGTGTGGTATAAGAAACTTTGTAAACTATACTTCAAGTTTTCCTCTCTCAACTTTGCTCTACTTTAATATACATTTTACTTACATATGTTACAAACCCTATAAAACATTGTTATTTTTTTATTTAGACAGTTCTTTTTCATAGCAATTTTATTGAGATATTTTCATATTGTATAAAGCATTCAATTCAGTGGTTTCTTTCTCTTTTTTTCCTGTTTTTTTTTTTTTTGTCAGTCGTAGGGCTTGAACTCTGGGCCTGGGCACTGCCCTCAGCTCTTCAGCTCAAGGCTAGCACTCTACCACTTGAGCCATAGCACCACTTCAGTTTTCAGGTGGTTAATTGGAGATAAGAGTCTCACAGATTTTCCTGCCCGGACTGGCTTTGGACCATGATCCTCAGATCTCAGCCTCCTGAGTTGCTAGGATTACAGGCGTGAGCCACCAGTGCCTGGCTTCGTTTATTTCTTATACTCTGATTTGTAGAGTTATCACCACAACTGTTTTTTGAAACTCTTTACCAAGCCCTCTATTTTCCGCCCACATCCCTCAGCCTGGGTCAACTCCTGATTAAAGCTCTTTGTCACAATTTGCCTATTTGAAGTTTCTCACATAAATGGAAACATATACTATGTATCCAGGTACTTCCTCAGCTAAATCTTTCCTCTCTCAACTGGACCCCAGCAGCAGTCTGGCCTTCCTGCGCCCACCCTCATTCTCCTGTAGTGTGTCTGTCCTCAGCACAGTAGTCAGTCAGGACTGTTCTGTCTCCTCTCATGTTACTAGCATTCGTGCAGGCTGGAAAAGTCTGACATTTATGAATATTTTCTCTTTCTCAGATCTAATTTACCAGTCAGTTTTGTCCATTTCTGCTTGTTAGAATTATATTTCTGTGTGACCCACAGTTACTGTCTTGATTTGCTGCATTCCTGATTATTCTTGGACAAGTACAATGGCCTCTTGTTTTCTTGTTTTTAATCTCTCCTTGATTCCTTTCTCCATGTGATTTCAGTTGTCTGAACTTGGTATCTAATCACAGCAGTTCCATGTTTATTTTCCCCAGTGTACACAAAGCAGATTTGTTAGCCTGGCTTAGGGTGCCCTCTGTTTTGTAGTCTCAATGTGACTTTCTACTCTTCTTCTCAGACAACCGTTGGTCCATAGGACAGAACACATGCTACTCTGTGTGTGTGTGTGTGCATGTGTGTGTGTGTGTGTGTGTGTGTGTCTGTGTCTGTGTCTGTGTATCTGTCAGTCTGGTCTGTCTGTGTAGTACTGGGGCTTGAACTCTAGGCCTCCAGCTCTCAGTTGGCTTTTTAAAATCAAGACTAACGCTCTACCACTTGAGCTACACTTCCATTTCTGGATTTTGGGTGGTTAATTGGAGATAAGAATCTCATGGACTTTTCTGTACAGACTGCCTTTGAACAAAGATCCTTAGAACTCAGTCTCCTGAGTAGCTAGGATTACAGGTATGAACCACTAGCTTCCACACTCCACTCTCTTCCTCCATCTCTGCTTCCTTGAGTGAGCTCCTTCCTCTGCCTTGAGTTGCTTTTTCTCTGCCTGATGAACTCCTACAAAGCCCTATTTAAATGGCTCCTTCTGACAAGCCTCTTCTGATGTCTTCCACAGGCTTTCAGGTAGGCCTTCTTTCCCAGATCCATTGAACTTGCAACACATTTATAGTTGCCCTTCTCTGTGGTAACTACTTGTTTTCATGTATGAATTCACACTGTTAATTCTTCCAAGGAGAGAATTTTGTTTTATAATTTTAGTTTCCTTGGTTCTGCTATATGACATGGAAAGCCATCCTATAGGATAATCTAAAATGGTTGTATTTTAACATCAGTTAGCTAGACTAAGAACTCTTATCTATGTAGATTTCTTGCTAAATATGTAATATTTGGTATTTTGTTTCAGATATGAGATGGAAAAATAAATTCTGGGGCAAATCCATGGAAATTGTCCCAATTGGCACAACCCATGTGACTCTACCAGCGTAAGTTCCTCTTGTGTGGCTAGGAACTTACAGAATTTTAGAGCTGAGAATTCACCGTAGTGACAGGGTTCTCACCATCCAGGGCACTGGGGGTATGTTTTAATCTTCCCTTTTCTCTTCTTGCAGAGCTAGGGATGAAATATAGAACCTTTTGCACACCGGGCAGGCATTCTCCTACTTGATCCATCCTCATCCTTGTTTTGTTCTTTTTATCTGATGGGCAGTGGGTTCAGATTGTCTCATCTGGCAAATCTCATTAGCTCATGAGTTTTTTTCCCCCTCAAGTGGAAATGCCTCCCACAAATTAAAGTTCCCTGAGTAGATTTTTAGAAACTCATGTCTATTTCCTAATGAAGATTAAGAATGGGAGTTTTTCTTTAAGCTGGTCATGCCTTACTCTTTTGTAATTGCCTTTAAGAAAGACATGGCCTTGACCTTACAGGGATTACTGGTACTTACTCCTATAAAATGATTATCAGAATTCCTGAACAAAAGCTGGAGTGCTTTACCTACTCGCTCTGCCTCTTGCTACAGATTGCCCTTGGCACTTAGCTCCATAAGTACTATATAAATACTTTCTTCTGGTAAAAGGTGTAATTGTACAAATTGTATAGAACTCTCCTAACAGTCAGGCACTGGGGACTCATGCCTGTGACCCTAACTAATCAGGAGGCTGAGTGAAATCTGAGCATCATGGTCCAAAGTGAGATCAAGGAAGAAAAATTAGGAAAGTTTGTGAGACTCTTCAGTTAACCACCAAAAAGCCAGAAGTAGAGGTGTGGCTCAAATGGTAGAATGTCAGCCTTGAATGAAAAAGCTAAGGGACAGCATCTAGGACCTGAATTCAAGCCCTAGTAAAATGAAATTTTTTAAAAAATGTATCTTTCTCCCATCCTAGTTTGGTTACATTAGTGAAGCTCTCACTGGTTTCCAGCATGGGGGAATCTGACCCTGTCCTGGCAGCTCCATGGGGAACAGCAGCTCAAATCACAGGATACCCAAAGCCTGGAGGGAGGGGCTGAGCGGTTTGTCACCTGGCTTAACTTGGGGACAGCAGAGTTCATTTGCATTGGCCACTGGCTCTTCTGGGAATCGTTACTTTGGCTTTCTCCTCCCTTTTAGTTTCGGAGATCATTTTGAGTGGAACAAAGTGACCTCTTGCATCCACAATATCTTAAGTGGTCAGAGGTGGATTGAGCACTATGGAGAGATTGTCATCAAGAACCTAAGTGACGACTCCTGCCACTGCAAAGTGAACTTCATAAAGGTAACCAGAGCAGCCCCCCATCCCCCCCCCCCCCCCCCCGCCCCGAGCTCTCACGCTGGATGGGCCGACCTGCGGATTCAGGTCCTCAGGACACAGGCCATCTTAAGGGATCTTTCACGGGACCTTTGTGCCAGAAGCTCCCTAGCCCCAGCCCACTGTGTCATCTGGACCAACACCATGTCCTCTCTAGCCTCCCTCCTCCTGCTCTCCCCCCTGCCCCTGCTGCCCATCCTCATCCCAGAGCCAGAATGTTGCCACGGTGCCACAACACCAGTACACTATAAAGACACTATGGCATATGTCTAAGTGGGGTAAGCCAGACTCAGGAAGACACAGACTGTATGATCCAATTACACGAGGATCCCAGAGGAGCCACATTCACAGACAGAAAGCAGAGCGAGTGATTTCCATGGGCTGGAGTAGGGAGGAATGGGGAATTGGCCTTTCATATATATGGAGTTTTGATTTGGGAAGATGAGAACATTCTGGAAATTGATAGTGGTGATGATTGTATATGATGGATGCACTTAATATTATTGAATTAGGTTAACATAAAGCTGAGTGTGATGGTACATATCTATAGTCCCAGCACTCAGCAAACTACAGCCAGGAGGATTGCAATTTTGAGGCCAGTCTGGGCTGTACAGTGAGTTCATATGTTTACTATAAGAAACTCATAGCACTGGGTGCCAGTGGCTCCCACCTGCAATCCTACCTACTCAGACTGAGATCTGAGGATCCTGGTTCAAAGCCAGTCCAGACTCTTTTTCTCCAGTTAATCACCAAAAGCCCAAAGTGAAGCTATGGATCAAGTGGTAGTTCATAAAAGCTCAATGACAGCACCCAGGCCCTGAGCTCAATCCCTAGACCTAACACAGAAAGAAAAGAGAAGCTTATCCCAACACTGGTGTCAGGGCTCAAGTGGTAAAGTAATTACCTAGCATTCACAAGTCTATTTCAAGAAAGAAAGAGGGAACTAAGTGGGGAGGATGGGGAGTACAAGGGAGAGAAGGCAGAAAGAATGGAGGAAGGGAGGAGAGGGGGGAAGAAGAAGGGAAGGGGAAAGAAGGAATTGATGCCACATTATTCTTTTGAAAAAATCCCTCCAGCACCTTCCATGTTCCTTGGAGTAAAAGCTTACATCCTTACAAAGGCCTGCGTGGCTCCTAACAGCCCGTCCTCCCCATCCATAGCCCTTGGCACACATACACACATTTGCATATACAACATACACACTCTCCCCTCCTTCCTCCCCAAAGTCCGCTCGCTCCTCCTTCTTCCCATCGCTTTCTCCTTACCCTATCACCTCACTGGCCCTTCCTCATTTCCTTCTGCCTTGACCACTCAGATTCCTGAATCTTCACCCTAATCAATCTTTCACTCTTTTTCATATTGCCTTTCCTTCAGAGTTTTGGTGACTACTGGGTTTTCAGCTTGGTAGTGATTGCTTTACCTGTTTCTTTCTCTCCACAGCCTCCTCACCATCCTCATGCTAGGCTAGGTAGCTTACTCCTGTAGCCCTGCTGCCTGGTGCCCAGCTCACAACAGAGCTCCTAACATTAGAGAAAGATGGGCCAGATGCAGTAGATATATGATTGTCTTTTCCAGCTACCTTGACTTGAGGCTGTCCTCCATCTTCTCTTCCTCCTCTCTCCTCCACCTCTTCCTCTTAAAAATGCATTTACTTAATGTGGTTTTTAAGTATTACCCTTGTTCAGAAATATTTACATTTAGCTCAGATCAAAATGGTGAGCTGAGAGGTGAGGTCCCACTGTGGAATTTCATACAAGTCTGCAGCATCTAGGGGGGGCGGGTTCTTAGGATGAAGCTGAATGGGGTCTTCGTTATAATCTACAAGTCCAATGAAGTTGTAAACAGATAGAAAACTGGCCATGACAACTTTGCGTGGCAAAATCTAAATGATGCCCTCCTGGAAGCTTTGCTTAAGCTGTCTGCAAAAGAAGCAAAGGTAGCTGGGCGTTGGTGGCTCACACCTGTAATCTTAGCTACTCAGGAGGCTGAGATCTGAGGATCCCGGTCAAAGCCAACCTGAGCAGGAAAGTCCAGGAGACTCTTATCTCCAATTAACCACCAGAAAATCAGAAGTGGCGCTGTGGCTCAAGTGGTAGAGTGCTAGCCTTGAGCTGAAGAGCTCAGGGACAGTGCCCAGACCCAGAGTTCAAGCACCATGACCACCACCACCAACAACAACAACAAAAAGCAGTCTGGAACAGAGGTGTGTTACCCTTGATCCATGGGAAAACCATTTGGGTGTCAATGTTTTTGCCAAGGACATGTGCTCTACTCCATGTCTACCCTCACCTGTCCCATTCACTCAAGGTCTGAGAGAGAGTTTTTGTTATTGTTGTTGTTTGAGGGCTTTTTGTTTGTTTGGGCACTACTGGGGTTAGACCCAGGGCCTTATGCTTGCTAGGCAGGCATTCCAATATTTGAACCACTCTCCCAGGCCTTATCTGCATTGATTATTTTCAAGACATGGTCTTTCTTTATGTTTGTATCAGCCTGGACTGCTGTCCTCCTAGTTTTGCTTCCCCTGTAACTTAGGATGACAGGAGTCACTAGCAATGTCCTGTTCTCTGCCTGGTCTACAAGGTAGACCTAGCTGTTGTTTTTTGAATCAGGATCTCACTGGGTAGTCCAAGTAGGCCTCAAAACTTGCAATCCTTCTACCTAAAGCCTCTCAAGTGCTGGTATTACAGGTGTGTGCTACCATGCCCAGCTTCAGAGATGAAATTATTGTAGTTATAAGATGAATATTGGATATGCCTCCAGTCAGTTACCCATGGACTGTGACTCACCCTCTGACTTCCTGTCCAGTGTCAGCCTTCGGTTTTTTAGTGAATATCCCTGAGAGAAAAATCTGACCCTTGTTTTTCAGTGAGCCTAGGTTTGGACTATTGCTTTTCCCCTCTTTTATATAGATGGGTAACTCAATTTTAAATTCCTTCACCTCTGAGACACTGTTGTTCCTGTTCCTTCCTTCCATTTCTATCAACAGGCTTGGAGGTTTGAAGCTGAACCACCAAAACATGGCCTGGAAATGCCACTCAAATTTATTGGTTTCCAAATATGACTTCTGATTCAGCTGGAAATATTGCTAGGACTTTTTATTTTTTATCTATAGAGCAATGCCTTCTGTTCTTTATAGAGATTCTTAGGGAAGCTAGGTAGTTGGGAGATTATTGGGGGAGGGGGGGAGAGCAGGGAGGTCATCTCAAGGGAGTGGGGCGCTCCCTCTGCTGGCTGGACAGTGGTACTGTTTGAAACCCAAAACGCTGAATTGAGCTGGGATGTGCTGGTCTGCCACTGTGTGCAGACCTCACAGATCACAACCAGTGCTCTGTGAAAATGTACACAGATAAAGGTCCTGTGTACTAGATAAGCAGCCCTAATCAAAGAAATTGGAAATTTTGAGTAATGTCCTGAAAATTTTTGCAAATGACTATCTACTTCCTGTGGAGGAAAAAAAATTACAAGTTAATTTTCTTTTAAATTATCGTGGTCAGACATATAACTCTGTAAGTGACAATGGCAGGCATGAGACAGCTGCCCCACAGAAGGGATCTTAGAGACCAGCCATGCTCTTAGGCAAGGGTCTGAAGAGACTTTCATTCCTGAACCACACATAGCAAACGTGATGGGGGGATGTATCCTATGCAGACATTGGATCCAAGTTACAAATGGCAAAGTTAACCATTAATTTTTATTAAATAACTAACGGTGATATTGGAAAAGAAGAAAAGAAAGGGGAAGGAGGGAGGGAGAGGGTGTGTGTGTGCGAGAGAGAGAGAGAGAAAGAGAGAGAGAGAATATCTAGGCTTAACAGATACATAGACCAATGAAAACAATATAGATAGCCCAGAAACAAACCCATGCATTTACAGTTAACTGATTTTCAACAAAGACACCAAGAACACATGATGAGAAAAAGAAAGTCTCTTTAATAAATGGTGTTGGGGGAAGAATTGAATATCCACATGCAGAGCAGTGAAACTCTTTATTTCATCCCACATACAAAAATCTAAAGGGCAGCTGGGCACCAGTGGCTCATGCCTGTAATCCTAGCTACTCAGAAGACTGAGATCTGAGGATCATGGTTCAAAGCCAGCCTGGGCAAGAAAGTCTGTGAGACTCTTATCTCCAATTAACCACTCAGAAGGCCAGAAGTGGGGGCTGGGAAGGTGGCTCAGTGGTAGAGCGCTTGCCTTGTATGCATGAGGCCCTGGGTTCGATTCCTTAGCACCACATAAGCAAAAAGAAAAAAAGCCGGAAGTGGCGTTGTGGCTCAAGTGGTAGAGCGCTAGCCCTGAGCTGAAGAGCTGAGGGACAGCACCCAGGCCCAGAGTTCAGGCCCCATGACTGACAAAAAACTAACTAAATAAAAGTCTTAAAACTTAAGAGCTAAAACTGTAAAGCTACTCAAAGAAAACTCAGTGGAAAAAGCCCTATGGTGTTGATCCAAACAGTAATGGTTTGGGTAGATTCCTAAAACACAGGCAACAAAGCAAAAATATTCAAATGGAATTGAATCAAACAAACATGCCTCTCACAGCAAAGAGAAACAATCTGTACAGGGAAGAAACCTACAGAATAAGGAGAACATATTTTCAAACTATGTCTGATACGATGTTAACATACAAAATATTTTAAAAACTCAACATAAAAACAAGAAAATAATCTTATTTTAAAATGGGAAAAGGAGCTAGAGATATACTTGAGTGATAAAGCACTTACCAAAAGACCCTGGCTTTGATCTTACCCACACCAAAAAAAGGCAAAGTATCTCAACAAACATTTCTCAAAAAGAAAGATCCCCTCCCTACCCTACCCCCTGTCAGTCATGTGGCTTGAACTCTGGGCCTTGGGGCTGCCCCTGAACTTTTTCTCTCAAGTGGAGCCATGGCACCACTTCTTGAGCTATCTCTTAGAATAGCTATTATAAAGAGATAAAAGATAGATGTTCGGAAGGCTGTGGAAAAACAGAACCCTTACAATATGTTAGTGATATAAATTAGTACAACCATAGGGAAAACAGATTCTCCAGATATTGTTCCAGCAATTCTACCATGGGCATAAATCCAAAGAAAATGAAATCAGTCTGTGGAAGGGACATCTGTATTCCGGTATTGATTGCAATTACTCACAGTAGCCAAAGTGCAGAATCAGCCTAAGTGTCTTTCAACAGAAGGCTAAAGAAAATGTGGTGTATATGTATACAATGGAATTTTATTCAGCCATAAAAAAGGATGAAGTCCTCATTTGTGACAGCATAGATAACCTGGCAGACATTATATTGAGTGAAATAATTAAGCGTAGATAAAAAAATACACATGGTCTTATTTATATATGGAATCTGAAAAGGTGGAACTCTTTAACAGGAAGTGGAATAGTGGTTCTCACTGGTAGCAGTGAGAATTGAGAAGCCTTGGTCAAAAGATATAGGATTTCAATGGGCAGGAATAAGTTCAGGAGAACTAATTGTTACTTGATAGATACAGTTAATAACAATGAATCATATACTAAAATATTGCTAAAAGTACTTTTTAAGTCTTCTTGCAAAAGTATGTAGCGGGGTGCCAGTGAATCAAACTTGTAATCCTAGCTACTCAGGGTACTAAGATCCAGATAACTGTGGTTTGAAGCCAAACCAGGAGAAAAAGTTTTTGAGACTCCATCTCCAGTTAGCCAGCAAAATGCTGGAGTGGAGGTGTGGCTCAAATGGTAGAGTGCTAGCAAGAAAGCCAAGCAAGAGCACAAGGCCTTGAGTTCAAACCTTGGCAAGGGCTTAGAACATGTATCTGAGGTAAATAGTATCTGTATATATACTTTTTGGACACACACCTTCTTGTTGGTTAATGAGAACCCAGAACTGGTAAACCAGTGGTGCTGTACAAAATCAGTCTATAGTCCTTCCTCTTTCTTTACCTTTAGTTTTCTTTATTTAGCATCTGTAATAAGCTGATCCTTTTGTAGTACCACTCAGACATCTGTCATTTGCATCTTAGGCAAAATACTGGAGCACTAATGCCCACGAGATTGAAGGCACAGTCTTCGACAGGAGTGGAAAGGCCGTGCACCGGCTGTTTGGGAAATGGCATGAAAGCATCTACTGTGGAGGCTCCTCATCCTCCATATGCGTCTGGAGAGCCAGTGAGTTTGGGTGCTTAGCTACCCCAGGCAGAGAGACCTTGGGTGGGAAGGGTAAGAGGATCCACCCTTAGACAGGAGTCAGCTCCACTTGGGTCTCCAGCCTGTATCTGCTGTGAGCCAGGGTAATGGCGTTGGCCTTTATTTCCTTCATGTAATCACTTTTCAGAGTCCTGGTCCCTTTCCAGCAGAACCTCAGTGGGGCTGCTTGGTCCTGGATTGTTCATCCCAGGAGGCCATTGCCATTACTAGTATACATGTCAGACCGACTATAGAGGCACCTTGAAGGAACTTCAGTGGCATGCAGGCAGTCATTCTATAATACCAAGAGGAGAAAATGAAGTTTTCAAGAGTGAGAGGTCCCAAATTGACCCAGTCCATATATATGCCTTTTGATAGCCTGTGATTTCCACAGGACTCTGAGACCTTGAAGCAACTGTGGGGAGAAAGGCAAGAGAACTCTGAGCTACCTCATCATGTCCCCTTAATCCATCCACGTCTGAAAGATAAATACCAAGGCAGGGTCATTTGTAAAACCTGTTATGAACTAGAGCTTTTAACATACTTAGGCTGATAAAAGCTTAACAGAAAGAAAACTTTACTAATTAATGGCTTTAAAACTTTACTATTAATGGCTTAAACCAGGAGGATAAATTGTAAATATGAAAAAGAAACTGGGGTACCTGTTGGAGATGACATTTTTTAAGAGAGGGAACAGGAAGTATAACAAAGGGGGTGAAATTGATTGGATTATACTATAACCTTATGTGGAATGTAACAATGAAATACTGCTCCCCCACCCTGTATAGCTAACATAAGACAAAAAAAAAAATCTCATGAGGATATGTCCTCTTAAGAATAAGTGAGAGGTAGCTCCAGGTTTGTTTCCCTGGCACCTTACCCATTCTAAGGACACAGATCAGTCAGGACACATTTTATCACTCCTTGTCTGCCATGATATTCCCTCATGCATGGAAATAGTTGTCACAATTCAGTGTCTACCCCTATATAACCATGAGCCAGGCAGGGAGAAAACAAAAGCCAGATTTTCACATATCTCCTTATTCTCAGGAATGCAGTATTTCGTATGACCTCTCAGTAACAATGTGCATACAGCCCATCAGCATGAAGGGGGTCTACCACTGAACCAATTGTGGGCCACAGGGCAGGCAGAGGAAATTTAGGTGGACTTTGGTTCATGCCTGGGGATGGGGCAGTGCAATCATAAGAGAACTGGTGTTCCATTAGCAAATACAAGGAATGACTGAGGTGTGGGGCGCTAGCCATGTCTCTTCCAATAGGCAGTAGCCACATCTTCCTCTGAAGAGATCGACAGGAAACCACAATGAATTGTCCACTAGCTTGAGCAGGCACAGGTGAGATTTTGGAGGGGGATGGTCTCTCCTCTGCTCTAGTATATCTCACAGACGAGAGCAACCTCTCCAAATTCCTCTTTGAATGTTAAAAGAAACATGTTGACGTTGTTGCTGTTATAATTCCTTGACTTTATGTCTGTATGTTGGCCCTGAGCATCGCTGGGTCTCTTGAGGTAAAGCAACCGTTCTTCGTTGGTGATTGGAGGACTAGAGTGGAAGACACAGTAGAAAACTTTGTCCAGGCTTAAGAAACAGAATTGAGTTACCAGGGGGACTTCTGGAACTTCAAAAGATGATCTGCAGACAAAAGCATGGCAACATTTAGATGTAGATGTGTAAATACCAAGAGCTAAGGCTAGAGGTAGATTTTTTTTGTCTACATTAAGTTTGCTTTACACATACACTTGGGATGTATTTAGCTCGAATTCAAGTTAGAGCCATATACTTAATTTTTCTAAAGTTAAAATGAGGACCAAGTATGATGGTTCATGCCTGTAATCCCAGCTACACAGGAGTCATAGATAGGAAGGTCATAGTCCGAGGACAGCCCTTGATTTGTGAGATCTCATTCCACCAACACCACCCCCAAAAAAGAAGAAAAGAGCTGGGGTGCAGCTCAAGTGATAGAACACCTTCTGTCAGCAAATTTGAAGCCCTGAGTTCAAACACCATTACAGCAAGGGAAAAAAGAAAAGATGTCACATTTTAGGGAACAAGAATTGGTGAAGAAAACCTGACCCACTAATAAAAGCCCGAATTTACACAAGAAATAAAAAGAGTTGGTTAAAGGATGAGAGGAAGGCTAGTATGGAACAAAGACCACTTACTATTGGTTCAACACTGTTTATGCTAAAAGACAAAGTTTAAGAGAGTTGTCCATCACCTACATAAAACAAAACAAAAATGGATGGAGAGTGTAGTTGGTTAGGAAAAGCAATCTAGAGGTTTTAAAAGGTTTTAATAGCAAATTATATTATTATGTAGCTCAAGTAGTATGGAAAATTTGCAGCATTATATAGGACCAAACAAAAGAGAACTATATCCTTGAAGGCAGAAGAAAATTTATAGAAAAGAAAATTGATAGAAAAATATTCAGCACTTATTTTCTAATCAGAATATTTTAATCCAAATAGAATACTTTCGTGCTGAGCAAGAACTTTAGCTGCTCTGAAATGAGAAAGATGAAGGAATTAAAAGGTAGCATGAATGAAGTGCAATGCAGGGATAATGGTGTTTTTCTCTTTTAGATCCCATGCCCAAAGGCTATGAGCAATATTATGGCTTCACACAGTTTGCTCTAGAGTTAAATGAAATGGATCCATCGTCAAAGTCTTTGTTACCACCGACAGACACTCGATTTAGACCAGATCAAAGGTAAGGGCTCTTTTTTAAAAGACCTTTCTCCCCAAAGAAGTAAAGCGAAGTGTGGTGGCACACTTCTGTAATCCTTGAACTCAGCAGACGGGGCAGGAGGACTGTGAGTTCAAGGTTAAACCATGCTATGTAGTGGTATCCTGTCTCAGGCAAAACAAAACAGGTGGTGCTAATAGCTGCCTAGAGAGGCAGGTGATGTCACCCTAGTAGACAGGTGAGTGAAGTTGGGGGAGGAGGGTAAGTAATTGTGTCAGAGAGAAATGGAGCCTCGCTTCAATCCATGGTGTGACATGACTGTCAGCAGAGCGCCATTTCTATTGAAAAAATTTTTCAATTTTATTTTGAAATGTTTTACTGTGTGCAGAAATAAAGAACTTAGTCTATATTTGAAAGTATAAGAACATTCAGATCAGCTAGGTGCCAGTGGCTAGCTTCTCAGGAGGCTGAGATGTCAGGATCACCATTTGAAGCCAGCCCAAGGAGAGAAGTCTGTGAGACTTCCATCTCCAATAAACTATTCAAAAAAAGCCATAAGTGGCACTGTGGCGCAAGTAATAGAATGCTAGCCTTGAGCACAAAATCTCAGGGTCAATACCCAGGCCCCAAGTTCAAGCTCCAGGTCTGCCAAAAAAAAAAAAGAAGGGGCTGGGAAGGTGGCTCAGTGGTAGAGTGCTTGCCTTGCATGCATGAGGCCCTGGGTTCAATTCCTCAGCACCACATATGCAGAAAAAGCCAGAAGTGGCACTGTGGCTCAAGAGTAAAATGTTAGCCTTGAGCTGAAGAGCTGAGGGACAGTGCCCAGGCCCAGATTTCAGGCCCCATGACCAACCAAAAAGAAAGAAAGAAAAGAAAAACAACACAACATCCACGTCCCCTAATCCTTCAAATTTAAATTAATTTGGTGCATTGAGATCTAGCTTTCAATTGTACACTGCTACTAACAAGCTATGTAGTAGAGAAACGTTTCTCAGTATTTCTCAGCCTCAGCTTCTTACTCTGTAAAATGGAAAGAATAGTCTTGCCTCCAAAGGCTTTTCTAATTACGCCTCAAAACCCAGAAGCCAAAAGAAAGAAAAGATTGCTATGTTTTACTCTGTGTGTATGTGTGCATGCATACATGCACTTGTACATACACATACACACACACACACATCAGTACTGGCTGGGCCTAAACTCAGGGCCTCACTCTGTCACTTGGCCTTTTCATTCATGGCCATCACTCTGCCACTTGAGTCACACCTCCACTTCTGGCTTTTTGGTGGTTAATTGGAGATAAGAATCTCCATGGGCTTTCCAGCCTGGGCTGGCTTTGAACCTCAATCCTCAGATCTCAGCTTCTTGAATAGCTAGGTTTATAGACATGAGCCACCAGCACCTGGATTGACTTTATTTTTTGTTAAGTCTTCTTAATAGATAAATATATATAATTCATAAAAAGATAAACAACCATTTATAACTCATCTCATGAATGTGTTCTAAAAAATATAATACGTCAACCCATGAGAAACAAAATGGACATAGAAAAATGGCTAGTTCACAAAATACTGAATGCGGTGCTCCTTAAACATATGCAAAGAAGTTCAGTCTCACTCATAATGTGAAAACTGTTAGTTTTGAAGCCTGAATGGGCTTACTGTTTTTTACCTTCTCACTTTGGTTCAAGTGACAGGGCTCAAGAAGAAAGGGTACTGACAACATGTGGGTGGGATGTAAGTAGCAGAGCAGTTTGTCATGTATGAGTTGCCATTTTACCCTCCAACCCAGCAGATTCACTTCTAGAAATTCCCCCTACAGATACGCTTTCCTACTTGTAACATTAGAGATATATAGGTTATTTGTTGGAATATTAATCATAACATGTTAAAAATAGGAACAACCCGGGGCTTAGCAGGTGGCTCAGTGGTGGAGCCCTTGCCTTGCATGCATGAGGCCCTGGGTTCGATCCCCCAGCACCACATAAGCAAAAAGAAAAAAGCCAGAAGTGGTACTGTGGCTCAAATGGTAGAGCGCTAGCCTTGAGCTGAAGAGCTGAGGGACAGCGCCCAGGCCGAGAGTTCAGGGCCCACAACTGGACCAAAAAAAAAGGAACAACCCAACTGCTTGTTTTTTTTTTTAATTTTATTTTATTTGTGAACATGCTGTACAGAGGAGTTACAATTACATGGGCAGGATAATGCGTACATTTCTTACCAAGCATTGCAGCCTCCTCCTTTGTTT